GGGATTGTGGCGTGGCCATCCCCCCTGGGGGGTGATTTCTCACTTTCTGTCTCTCTCTGGTGAGCGCAAGCGCCCTATAGCAAAAACCTCTCCAAAAAAAAAAAAAAGTCTCTGGACTTGAACTGAACCAGGAACCTAACTATACCGGACTGCCTTGCAGAACATCACACTTTACTGCTGGGTCACCATCTGGCCCGTGACACTTTTTTTTTTTTTAAAGGTTTTTGCCATATGGCTTATATACTCACTGGAGAGAGAGAAATCACCCCCAGGGGATGGCCACACCTCAGTCCCTTCTCTATTCTCTTCTGGGGATCTTGTACCAGGCATTTCTTTCTTTCTTTTTTGAGTTTTTTTTTGCTATAGGGCACATGCACTCACCAGAAAGACAGAGACCAGACAGAAAGCAAGAAATCACTCCCCAAGGGGGAAGGCCACACTGCAATCCCTTCTCCATTCTCCTCTAGGGATCTTGGGCCCACACGCACACACGCCTGGCTTGAGTTAATTTAAGCTGCTGGGTCCAGGACTCGGACTGCAGTCAACTACATGGAGTCCAGCGACATAGCCATTACACCAACTGCCAGTCCCATATCCGGCATGATTTCAAGCTTCCGAGTCTGAGACTCAAACTGTGGTTGGCCATGTAGGAATCCATGGCCTTAACTATCATGCCACCTGCTGTCCCTAGGCTCTTCACTTGGTGTATTTCATTTGCCAAGCCATCCCATATGCCCAATGCTGCCATCCTGTCCTCTGTAGTGCCTGAGAGAACCTGGGAGATGGATTTAACCAGAACTAGATACAACCTTAATATTTATGTATTTATTCTCAGAACATACAAATTCATCTTCTCAGAGAATAAAAAACAGAAATTTCACTCAGTGACTTGAAGATGGACACAGCCAACTCACCCTGTCCCCATACCCACTAGGAAAAGTCCAGGGGTGGGATGCCTAGGATGCACGGCACCCCTGGGCAGGGGGTCGTGCAGATTTGCAGGCTTCCACTTCTTATAAGCTGAGTGGAAAACAGCTGTCAAAGTGACAGCAAGAGTCCAAGCTCCACAATCCTCATGGTGCCAGATCCCCTGGGCCATCTAGGGCAATAACATTGCCACAGTCTGCCCAGTTACACATCAGGTCTGTGCCGCAGGAGGTCCCATTGGGCAGCCAGGTTTCTGTTCAGTCAAGCAGAAGCCGCTTGGCTGCTCCCATGGTGGGGCAAGAGCTGACAGCCTAGAGCAGTCTCCAAGCCCCCCAGAGGGGCAGAGCTGGGCCAGTTTGCTCTTCCTGCTTCTGACAGCATCTTCCTCCTGCAGCCCCCCATTCAGGCTACATACCTAAAGGCCTGGGCCAGGGAGTCTGATTGTTTCCTAAGCTGCCATAACCCCAGAGTGAGGATCTACAAAGAGGCATGTGAGGGTCCTGAAGCAGAAACAGCAGGCAGCTTCAGCGCACGCCCTTGAACCCATGGGAAGAGAGCTGTGTCAGGCAAAGATGGTCTCTTCCCGGCGCTTCTTGGTGAGGATGGTGCCTGGCTTGTGCTGGGCATCTGGGTGGTTGGCTAGCTCTGGGGGGCAGGAAGACACTGGGCTCTCCAGGATGGCTTGCTTCAGCTCATAGAACACAGCAGAGTCCTCTTTGGTGAGGAAGGTGATGGCCACACCACTCTTGCCTGCTCGTCCCGTACGGCCAATACGGTGGATGTAATCTAGGGGTGGGGGGATGAGGGGAATGTCATGTCACTTGACCAGATGACCCTGGTGAGCAGTGTCTCAAGCCAGCACTTCCAAAGGCATCCTCCTACCCACCACAGCTCTAACCACTAACTACTCACACCGCAGGAACTGCAGTGCCCACAGTGCTCTCCACTGGTGTCTGTCCCCCCACCACGACCGATCGTGGTCATCCTATCGCACTGAGGGTTGCCCAGCAACTAAG